TGGTATGACCGATTAAAAAAAAAAAAAAGAAAAAATGAAAAAAAAACCACAGAACACCGAACTCTCATTATATGTCAAATACTTAGAAAAGCGGGGAGGGTGGAAAAAAAACAGAAAAGATCAGTGCCCTAACTTCTTCAAAGAAAAAAAAAAAAAAAAAAAAAAAAAAAAAATCCTCATAGCTCACAATATTGTCGTGATTTCGTGAAGCTTGCGGCTTCATCGAAGGGGTGCATAATAATAGAGGATTTAGAATCGGCCCGAAGTGAGGTTTCCTAGGCGGCGAGTGGCTGAGGACAGATTACACGCCGCAGGGTACAAAGAGTAGAAGGGTTTCGCAGTCTACGTCTCGTGTTTGCACATTGGGAAGTGTTGGATAGCGATAAGGTATCTCTGTTACGTGACGTGACCGCCATATTCAAATTTTCAAAAGATCCTTCTTTTTTTTTTTTTTTTTTTGTTTTGTTTTATTATTCTTTTTCCTTTTTCATGCTAATCAAAAAGATCACTTGCCACGGATGTATAGTCACGAACCAATTATATATATATATGCACTATTTAAATATTTCAAATTTATTCGAATTCGTAATATAACAATAACGATAGAAAAAGATAACCATATTGTTATTATAAATTAATCTCATAATCTCTCAGTTTATAAATAGCCAGAACTAAAGGAACTAATTGCCAGTTATAACAACCCTCTTAAGAAGAATCGTTTTGATTAAAGTTAGATAGGTTTGAGGGTCCAATGCAAACATCTGGGTACAAAACGATTACAATAGGCAATAACTTAAAATAAAATTGATATAACGCGATTTTCTTTATCTTCTCGATATTAAAATTTAAAATAAAAGAAAAGAAAGAAAGAAGGAACAATAGCAAATGTAACAATGATTAATCACTCATAATTAAATCTAATTCAAAGAACAATATATATTTAACTACGGAAGGATACAATTATTCAATTACCTTTTTTTTTTCTTTTTTTCTTTGACTTGATAAAGAATTAATAATGTGTTTCCTTATCTCTTATCTAGCCAGTTATATACGAAACGATTTACTTCCCTTATTTGTACTCTGAGAAGTGCTATAAACCTCGAGAAAAAAAGAAAAGGAGGAGAAAGAGAGAAAGAAAGAAAGAGAGAGAAAGAGAGAGAGAGAGAAAGAGAGAGAGAAAGAGAGAGCATAGCATTTGGACATTAGATTGATGGGGTAGGATTAGCCGGATCCCAACCGTTGGAAGCCGAGGATTTCCCTTGTCTAACCAAAGGCTCAAAGCGATTCGCCATCAGGTTCAATGTTCCCTTACTTTCACATTGGAAGCATTATTCAGCACCCTTCTTCTTCTTGATCATTGAAAGAAATACTTTTCGAATATATCTACGTGAATGTTTCCAAAGAATGTTCAAAGTCATTCCCTCTCAGTCTCTCTTTTATTATATACTTTCCTCAAAAAAAAATTTTCAAAAATTAAATAATATTTTCAATGATGATCTAAATAATTCTTTATAAATGATAATAATAATAATAATAATAATAATAATAATAATAATAATAATAATAATAATAATAATAATAATAATAATAACCCTAACATAATACTTATTTGGATTACATTAATTTCATTGTAAAGATTTTAATAGAACCGAACTGACAATATATTTTTCAATGACACTAATAATAATAATAATAATAATTACAATGATGATGATTATGATGATGATGATGATGATGATAATGATAATTTGATAAGTGCGAAGTCCCTGGACGTACGCAAACACATAGACAACTTCAAAGTCAGTAACCTGTGTTTATCCAAGGGATCACGTTAATGCAATGGAAAACGAGAGGGGTATTTTATTCTATGGGATACATTATGGTTAGCCTAAGATAGAAGGACAGGCCAATCTACCAAGGATTTAGTAGAGGCACATTCAAACGATCCATCGTATTTTATTTTTTTCTTTTTTTCATTCCCTATTATTTTTTTTTCTTTTTTTTTTTTTTTTTTAAAGAGATCCTCCTAACGCTGTCGTCGAGTATATTTATCGTTAAAAAAAAAAAAGAAAAAAGAAAAAAAAAGAAAAGAAAACAAGTTGCAACAAAAAACTCTCATATTATTGCATATATAATTGAAAGTATTGCTGATCTAATGATGGATGTATATCGAAATTGTCGACTAAAATATTACTGTACATATATCCTTAGAATTTAGAATTTGTTTAAAAAAAGATCTCTCTCTCTCTCTCTTTCTCTCTCTCTTTTTCTCACACGCACACACACACATACACACTCACTCTTTGAAATGTACGAAAAGAAAAATGTGAAGGATCCAGATCGAAAATCTGAAGAAGAAGACGAAGATGATGTCATCCCACCAAACAAGTGAGAGTGTGTCAAAATAGGTCTATACTTTCAATTGTTTGATGAGGTGAAATCATTTGAAATGCGTGTCATTCAACGAGGATGAACAAAATGAACTCGACGGTAGGTCGATTAATGCGTATGCAATGATAGCCGTCAATATGGATGACGATAAAATGATTTATCGTTTATTTTAATCACCGAAGAGATTTCACTTGATTATAACAATTAGAGAGTTATCATAGTTGCGTTTTTATCAATGTTTTCTTACTCTTTTTTTGTAGTTTTTTTTTTTTTTTGTAAATCGTAGAAAAGAAAAGAACAAAAAAATAAATAAATAAAGAAGACAGTTTAGACTTTAATTTTTCTTTTACTTTAGACTTCAATTTATTCATGACTCGGAGATTCGATTAATGAAAATTAATTTGGAATGAAGTGTCTCTCATAATACTTGATGTATTTCAATTCAATTTGTTTTTTTTCCTTTTTTTTTTTTTTTTCTTTTATTTGTCGTTCCTAGACATCCTGCCTCACAATGCCGAAAGTTATCCAGCGACGAAAGAGTTCCTGATGAAGGTCGTGGACATCCTATTGGATTACATCAAAGCAACGAACGATCGAAACGCTAAGGTCCTAGATTTTCGTCATCCATCCGAAATGATTCGTTTGCTTGATCTCGAGATACCTGACACTGGTCTGACTTTGCAACAACTATTGATCGACTGTTCGACGACATTAAAGTATCAAGTGAGAACGGGTAAGTCAATTTTATATGATCATTTTTTTCTTAACAAAATCAAACGAAAGTTTCTGCGATGATATTAAAAAATCAATCAGCCCTCTCTTACCGATTTATTTCTCACGAACTAAAAACTTTTTTTTTACAATCTCAAACGAATGACAAGGAAAAAAAAAAGAAAAAGAAATGGTGAGAATTTCTTTCTTTCTTCTTTTTTTTTTTTCTTCTTAAAACTACGAAGGGAAAAAAATATTGAGTATTGACGTATAGCATCGAAGAGCATAGTGTTATCACGTTTTTTTTTCTTTTCGGGATAAGAACATAATTTATAGAAAGATTAAGATTAGGAAAAGAGTGAGACAAGATAAAAGGAAATATGAGAACGTCCGAGTATGCTTCAAACCACTATCACGCTTCTCGATTCACGAGGGTGATAAGCCACATAATTTCATATTCAATTTAGCATACGGTGAAAGTTGGTGGCTACGGAAGGGGGACAACGAAGATAAGCTTGCTAAAAAGATGCTTCCGGACATTCCCTAACACCCCTGACATATTCGCGATAAAAAGAAAAAAGGGGGGTGGGGGAGAAAAAAAGAATAAGAAAAGTAGAGTGAAGGAGAAAAAATGAAGAAATTAAAAAATATAAAACCATGACTATCAAACAAGAGACGTCTTTTTTCGCTGGTTAACACATTAAATTAAATATTTGTAAAAAAATAAAATGATACTGTTGGCTTACCAACAGACATACACACTTTGGACCATTTAAGATAAAAATAGGAAGAAAAATATATTGAGAGGAAAAAAGTACTGTGAGGATTAAAACATCTTCTTTAACTTTAATTTGACAAATTAAATAGAATATATTGATCAAAATAAAAATGAAGACTAGGATGAAATAAATTTCATTCCGAGAATCCTAATAATGTTTAGAAAGTCAACCGGCAACGTGTAGGGAACCACAAAGTTCGCCAAATCTCCTCCTGAAGATTCGATTACCGAAGCTGAATGGATGCTAATGCACAATAGAAAAGAAAGAGAGAGAGAGAGAGAGTCCTAACCAAAGTTAGGCCAGAAATCTGGCCAACGTCGTCTCTCTGTGCGATCGAACGATGCCAAGAGAGTTTGAGAGGGTGTGGTGGGGTGAAGTGGGAATGGATGAAAACGTCACCCCTCTCTGCTATCGTAGGGGCACGTGTACGTTGATATACGTGCTGACAAAAACTCGTTATTAGATTATGTGTCTGGCAACTATCGAGAAAGAGTACCATCGAATGTTTTTATTCCTATCTATCTATTTATCTATCTATTTTTTTTCCAACTTTTTATCACTGTCTCGTCGGATCAATTTTTCGATATATATATATATATATTTTTTTTTTTACACTAATATCGACAATTTAATAAAATAATGAAAGAGTGACGAAGAAAATCATGAATAAAATATCACGAGAAAAATTAGAAATGATTAGTGAGATTAGAAATATTGAGATTGTCTTTGATAGCTTAATCTACAAACGTAAGACAAAGAAAGAAAACATATGCAACGATAAAAGAAACTAACGAAGGAATTTTTTTTAACTTCGAACATGCGTGAGGGAGTAGATCAAGATCAAAAATAATGATCCTGAAATTGTACGAAAAGCTATCTTCTTCTCACATAGAATTTTAAAATGAAATATGATAGAATCCGTCTGACATTTTCGATCGATCAAACTTAACAGTTCGATAAGATTTTACAAAAAGATACATACGTATATCATAAAGAACGTATATCTCTCTTTCTTTTCTGTTTTTCTTTTTTATATTTTTACGATAATATATTATTATACGAAATTTAAAGCGACAAAGCTATGTATGTGTCAAATTTTGAAGATCATTGGATTATGCGAATTGTGAAACTTATTTGTCCATCGGCTGAACAGGTTCTATCTTATTCCACTTGAAAGTAGTTTAAGTGTAAACTAGGATTAAACTTTGTGACGTGTGTTTATGTGTATATATATGTCAATGTGTCTGTGTGACCTAAAATCGAAACTACAAAATATTCTTTTCTATTCTTCTTTGATCTACATTTTGCCAGTGTTATCGAAAACGGATACTCTAGTTCCTTCAATACCTCCAGGGTAAAGAACTTCGTGCTAAGGAACAACTGTCTTCCATTTGACAAGTTTCTAACTTGAGGAGAGACTTTAAAATTCTTTAAAAATTTAATTTAACAAATTTTATTTTTTACTATTAACCATTAAATATAAATTATGTCTACGATGAGGGCAAAAAAGAAAAGGGATTAAATTGGTGTACCGATATTAATTTCAAAATATCGTGCAGGAATTCGAAGGGAGAAAAAAAAGATGCAGGTCATATCTATAGTAAAAAGAAAGAAAAAAAAAGAAAAAAAAAAAAAAGTAAAAAAAAGAAAAAAATTCCCCGCGACAGTGTCAACGCACGTGGCACCATTGCGCACAGGGTGGCGAATTCTATAAGATCGGTGTAATTAAGAGCCATTTCTACACGATTTTCCCCCGGTGGAGAAAGAGAGAGAGAAAGAGAGAGAGAGAGGGAGAGAGAAAGAGTAGGGTGAAACGGTAAATAGGGGTGAGCATAGGGGATGACTAGAACGATACAGTTCGTAGGGAAAAAGCCCCTTTTGCGATTCTCCAACGTCGAAAACGGCTGGAGAGTATAACAGCTAAGGAATTTAAATTAGTATCGATAGCTATTTGTGGAATTCAAACAAAAAATATTTTCATAAATGAACAATGAAACGATTAAAATGCCTGCCGCTTTTTTTTGTTTTGTATTATTTATTTATCACTTATTTTTCTATCAATCTGCTCATTAATACAAACTTAATGCAAAAGAAGAAAATATGAACGAACGATGAAAAGATGACGAAATATTTATTTGTTTATTTCGAATTTATTTATTTTTTCTTTTTTCTTTTTTTTTCTTTTCTTTTTTTTTCATGTCAACCTACTCGTTAATATAGGTAAATAAAAAGAAAAGAAAAGAATGATTGGAAAAATGTTATTCGTTTGAAAATTCGCTAAGTGTTTTCCATCTTCTTGAACGATATGATTGATTATACAGCATTAACGTTAAGCCAGGGTTACACACTTCTCTTCATACAAATCCTAAGTTCTAATATATCACTAGAGGGGTCTGCTTTGAACAGGTTCTCCTCGTGGCTTACGAAGCCACTCGGTTTCTTTCAGGCACACAACGTAAGACAAGAGTAAATTAGTTGGAAAATGATTCCACGAGAGAGTCTAATCGTTGCCTTGTCTATAGAACCGAAAGAAACAATTTCCTATATAATCTTATCAAATGATACTCGATAAGAGAATTCGGACTTTTACGTAAACAATTTTTTGCACAATATTGCATTAAATCAATTGACATGATGTCTGTCATTTATTTCAATTATTTGCACTTCTTAATTATTTTCTTTCGTTTTCTTTTTTTTTTTTTCATTTGTTCACTCATTACTCTTTTGCGTTTTAATATTATTTTGCTAAAAAAAAAAAAAATATATATATATATACATATATACCAATACAAATATGAAATATACAATACAATTAAGAAAAAATTATTATATTAAGATTTCTAATGATTTTCTCAATGATTCTCTTATTTAGATAAATACGTACAATTTATTCTGGCGAGGATGCAGGTATATAATTGTCGAATAAAAAAAAAGAAAAAAAAAAAAAGAAAAAAAAAAACAAGAAGAAGAAAATACTTATATAAAAGAGACTGTCTGAAAAATTTTCGACAATGTTAAATTTCAATTAGTAAAAAAAAAAAAATAAGACGTTCGCCAAAAATCAGAAGCAAAAAACTCAACAGCATTCATGTTTGAGAAAGGAAACGAAGATTTAATGTTAATTATATTTAAATCGGCTTATCTCGCGCATTTGGTATAGTCCATGTTTGCTTTTCTTTGCACGAAGAAGGTATAGTTTGAGAGCCTCTGCAAACAATCTAGTCGAGCAGCGACGCGTGTGACGCGCAAAATGCGGGCGCTTCGGACCATCGACCCTACTACACCCTTAGACCTTCTACCATGTCCTCGTTCGATGTTTCTGTGAAACTAAAGAGAGAGAGAGAGAGAGAGAGAGAGAGAGAGAGAGAGAGAAATAGAGAAAGAGAGAAAAACAGAAAGAAAAAGAAAGAAAGAAAGAGAGAGAGAGGAGAGGGAAATCTTTCTTCTCCCCAAAACCGGACGCGTGCCACGATCTCCAGACCAAGATAATTGCGAATAACAGCGCGACAAACGGCTCGAATGCCATTGCACGATATCACATTTTGAGGGTGACTTTTTATCGAACCATTCCTATCGACCTATTCTCTCTACAAAGGAAAAAAAAGACAAAAAAGAGAAAGAAAAAAAAAATTTCACTATCAAATTCTACGATCACAAATTCAAATGTACGATTATCCCCTAACCGCACTTATTGCAATAAGGCAGATTGCAATATCGAGTCGGTGCGAACGTGTACACATTTTTTTTTTCTATTTTTGTTTCTTTCTCCTAATAATCGTACGAAGAAAGAAGAAGAAGAAGAAGAGGAGGAGGAGGAGGAGAAGGAGGAGGAGGAGGAAGAGGAGGAGAAAAAAATCATCTCGCGAGATTATCTTCGACAAACTTTAACGTCACTTTACTGGATTCGAACGAAGGGTGTGGCTAACATCCGACATCTCAAAGAAGGATCCTGTCGAACGTCAATCTACTTGGCTAATGCTACAAGATTAAAAGATTCTTACTGTCAATATTATCGCGCGTGAAAACGTTCCTATTGCTGACGTAATAAGAACGAGAAAAGAAAAGAAAAGAAATATAAAAAAGAAAAAAAAAGAAGAAGAAGAAGAAGAAGAAGAAGAAGAAAGGAAAAAAGAAAAGAACAAAATTCACACAGTGGAATCCATGTTCAACGAAAGATTAAAGTAATAAGTAAGTCAATAAGTAAGTAAGCAAGTATTATGAACGCAAACATTTAACAAGATCATTGTAGAAATCTTCTTTTGTTTTCAAAAAGCTAAAGAAAATCTACAACAATGAAAGATAGGATAGTAATGAGATACTGAAAGGAGAAAATGTAGTAGTACATACAACTAACAATGTACATGCAATAGTGATGGTCGCAGGCACGCAACCCCTGACTACACCAGAAGGCAGACTCCCATCAAACAGAAGCATTAGACTTGATCCGTGCACGATGTTCAGCCAAGCGGATGACAACGTACTCAGCGAGGAGCTTAAAGTTCTCTCTCTCTCTCTCTCTCTCACTCTCTCTCTTCCATATACCTTTAACCTTTGCCAGCGTCCATGAGAACATATAGATTAGGGTTGACACCTAGGGTAGAAAAGTTTTTTAGCACGTGCCCTGTCAAAATTATTAATTACGTCAGAGTTAGAACAGTGTCATTAAGTGTCATTAACATCTAATACCATTTAAAGCAATCACGATTGTTACTTAGAAGAAAATTTGATTTCTATGAAAGAATGTAATTAATTAAAGAAAATTAATTCCAATCAAATCCATTCGCTTTATCGAATTTTTCCAATCAATTATAAAATATGTTTTTTTCTTTATATATATATATATATATATATGGATATATATGTGTGTGTGTATTATTTTTTTCTTGTGTTCTTCTTTTTTTTTTCTTCTTTATTTTCATCACACAAGGACATCCACATTTCTTCAATCAACTGTCCTGTGGTCTTGATCTGGTGTCGATGGCCGGCGAATGGTTGACGGCGACGGCGAATACAAACATGTTCACTTACGAGATCGCTCCTGTTTTCATACTAATGGAAAATGTTGTACTTCAAAAGATGAGGGAATTGATCGGTTGGAATTGTGGCGATTCGATCCTAGCACCAGGTGGATCCATCAGCAATTTATATGCGTTCCTAGCGGCAAGACATAAAATGTTTCCTTCGTACAAAGAACGTGGTCTTTCATCGATAGGAGGCCAACTCGTTATGTTTACGTCCGATCAGGTATGATCATTGGGTCATGTTCTTTCTTCTTTCTTTCTTTTTGTTTCTTCTTCTTTTTCTTTTTCTTCTTTATAGAATCTTTTAATATCCTATTTATATGTACCATGTATGTATCTTGTTGAAATCAGTGTCATTATTCCGTGAAATCGTGCGCTGCCGTTTGCGGCTTGGGTACCGACAATTGCGTCATGGTACCGAGCGACGAACGTGGTCGAATAATACCATCGAAATTGGAAGAACTTATCCTAGAACGCAAGGCCAAAGGTCACATACCATTCTTTGTAAATGCAACAGCAGGGACAACCGTGATCGGCGCATTCGATTCAATACCAGAGATAGCTGATATTTGCAAGAAATACAAGCTTTGGCTTCACGTAGATGTGAGTAAAATTTTAATCTATCTATTTATCTATCTATCTATCTATCTATCTATCTATCTATCTATCTATTTGTCTGTCTGTCGATCAATTACGAATTATTCAGGATAATTCGCACGAGATAATACCTAAATGCCAAGTTACGAAAGAGCCTTAACGTTAATAATAAATGTGAGAAACGGAGAATCTGTCGAATAGAGTCACCCTTGTTGAATTCAAATCAAATTGCTCGCAAGGAAAGCCGGGAAAACGTCGGATTTATAAGTCAGTATTTAAACGGCCATTTAAACGTGAATATATCCCCAGGTCTCACTCACTATGAGATATCTATTTTCGAAAAAAAAAAGAAAAAAAAAATACATTTTCCTTTCCCTTTTTTTTTTCTTTTTGTTTCCCTCACAACTTTTCCTTTATTTATTTTTACAGGCAGCTTGGGGCGGTGGTTTACTTCTATCTCGAAAGTACAGACATCCAAGATTGACTGGCATCGAACGGTGAGTCCTAAACAAAAGAATTTCTAACATTTTACATAGGGCCTCGACTTGATCTACGAGTTTTATTATAGTTCGACTAAGGGCTTAGCTTTATGGATCCTTAGGCTTCGAAAAAAGAGAGAAAAAAAAAAAAGAGAAATGAAGGCTTAGCGGAGTATATAGAATAAAAAAATCAATACTCATAGGCTTTCAAGGAAAGTCCTGAATATATATATATATATATATATATATAGGTATACATAATTTTGCATGATAATACCTAAATGCAAGGATCAAAAGATATTACGTATGTAACATATTGCTATAAAATATATCGTGAAAAATGGCGACCACTAAGAGTATTTGGAAAATATTATATTTCTCGAAAGGAAAAGAGAGAAAAGGAACAAAAAAAAAATAAAAGAAAAAAGAAAAGGAAAACTCTCGAAACAATTTATCACGTTGTCATAATTGTAATAATTGATTTAAAAAAAAATATATATATATATATACGTAAGGAAAATTTCATTTACGTTTTTTAGTTTGAGACGATGGGGGTCAGTGTATTTTCGTGCTATTGTGTTTCGTTCAAACTGGAAGCAGCGGCTGGGTACGATAGGGATGCTGAGATTAATCCACGATTTGCATCTGAGCGCATCTGTATCCCCCGAATCGATAACAGACAGTCCGTGACCCTAAAAAAATGTGGCACGAGGTTTCCTCTCTCTCTCTCTCTCTCTTGAAAATTGAAATCCTATACATGTTCGTACGAAGATATAAAATGAGAGTTCGTCGTTGTGCCAATAAATAACAAAGAAATTTTCAGTACACACGTAGGAATATATGTATATACATATATATATATATTTTTTTTTCAATCGTTTTTATGAATAAATTCAATATTGTGCAATATAGATATCGAAATGAATTTGATCGATTTATTATTTTTGTTTTTCTCTTTACTTTTTTTGAATTTAATGATCGACACGAAAATACATCTCGATCCTACAAAATCCAATTAGCAATATTTCTCGAATATTACAATAAAATTTAATCGATTAGGATCAATTAGTACATGCGTCGTTTTTTCTTGTTTTCTTTTTCAATTTTTTCTTTATTTATAATAATCGATCGAAAAAAGGGATCATTCTTTGGTTATTGAAAGGTTCTTTTTTTTTCTCTCTCTCTCTCTCTCTCTCTTTCTTTTCTCTTCTCTCCTGTCTTTCTGTCTTTTGGAATGGACTGTACTGTCAGTCGGTACTTCCTTCCTGAAGGTCTTGATTAAAATGGCAAACGAGAAGAAGAGAAAGTCCATGGGCACGAGCAACAGCTGGATCGGTTCCCTGGAGCGCATTTGCAGAACAGAACTCTCCTCTTATATTGACGCGCCACAGCATCCGTGAGCTGTACACCATCCTCCACCTCCTCCTCCTCCTCCTCCTCCGCGAGCTTGAAATAAAAGCCCGTGCCTCGACAATGCTGGATTAAACTCATACAAAGGGACCTCCCTCTCTTTCTTTCTCACTCACTCACTCACTGTCCTTCTCTCTCTCTCTCTCTCTCTCTCTCTCTCTCTCTCTATCTATCTATCTTTCTATCTATCTATCTCTATTTGTCTCTCTCTCTCTCTCTCTCTCTCTCTCTCTTTCTCCGTGTTTCATATACTCTATGTAAACGTACGTAGGAAATCGTACGTTTTGAAAAGAGGAACTGCTGTGATTTCGTCGCTATATCAAAAAGTCACAAATGATTACGAGTAAAAGATCATCCAAGCGAGACAGGTTGGAGGACATCAAATAATAGACACGATATCTGACAATGACTTCTGAGTATCTTTTTGTTTTTATTTTTTCCTTCCTCTTCTTTCTTTCTTTTTTCTTTTTATTTCATTGTTTGTTTGTTTTCTTTCCTTCTTTTTTACTCATCGTTCTTACATCCCATAACTCATTCGACCAATCGTCAGCCCATTTCTTTCTATCCAATTCTCTTGTTAACTTCTTCTCATTGCGATGAATATTTTTCTTCAATTTTTTTACCATACTTTTTTTTCTATATTCCATGACAAAACATTTTCGCTACAATACAAGTACATTAGAATTTTTAGAAGAATTTCTTTTTTTTCTCTCTCCTCTTCTTTTTCTTCCCTTTTTTATCATCGTATTTTTATTTCATTTCATTGTCATTCCTTTCATTTCTTTATTATGTAAAAAGTTAACATAAAGAAAATCAATATGTCACTATACTCTTAAAGTAATTATAATAATTAAATAATACTTTTGAAACATTTGCATAAGAAATCAATGCTTTTCTTTTCTTTTTATCTTTCTTTTTTCTTTCTTCTTCAAGAATCCATTAGCATATATTTCAATGTTAATCATAAAATTGTTATATAACAAATTTACAAGATTGACGATGATAATTATGTTAATTATATATATGTATATCGGTGTATAATAGCAATGTGTGCAAGGAACGTAATCAAAGCTTCAAATTTATGTGTTTCATTTAATGCTTCAATGATAATTATGGTAATTAGTAGTCAAATACTAGCATACCTACCATATTCGCGTTTTGCACGTAGCTTTTGGAATTGGCATGAGGAACGAATTTGAGAGGAGAGTCAGAAAATAGAGAGAGAGAGAGAGAGAGAGAGAGAGAGAGAGAGAGAGAGGATTGGTAAAAGCGCCAACCCCAGCTGCGAATCGCATTAATCAACTCGAAGCTTTATATTATGCACGGTTCTACGAGAGGTTAGATCTACTTAATCGAAAAGAGAAAACTTTTCTTTTCTTCTCTCTTTACATTTCATTCTGAATCGATGCGAAAAAAAAAAAAAAAAAAAAAAAAAGGAAAAAAAAAGATCGCCGTAGAAAAGAATTTTTTTTTTTATGCAAAATCAATAAGTACAAAAATAAATATAAAAATCACGGATAGAATAGGAAAGAAACGGGGGAGGGGAGAAAAAAGAGAGAGAATAGAAAAAGAAAAGGAAGATTTGAACTAAACATGATACAAGAAATTCCGTGCATCCAAGAGTAAAGTGAAGAGTGACAAATGGATAGTGTCTGTCGACGACACGAGTCTCTTTCAGGATATTTCAAGTGTCCTTAAATCATTCACAGTATAGTTAAAAGGGCATAAAGGGTCAGTATGATGTGTTATATGTGTCATTTGCAAAAGGAACGATAACATTTGTCAGCGAAACAAATCTCAAATATATATATATATATGTATGTATGTATGTATGTATGTATGTGTATATGTCTACACATATATATATATATATATATCATAATATTAAATTATAGAATACATAAAATTTTCATAAAATTCACGTTTTATCCCACTTTGAAAACAATAAGTTGAAATTAATGACTTAATCGATGATCAAATTCCTCGAAATATTTAATTTGTTTGAATGATCGGTTTAACGTATAAACGAAGCCACAAATTGGTGTCAAGGACTACCCATCAAGGCAGGTTCTAGTATTTCGTGATCTCTTGGATTAAGAAGGGTTACTATACAACACACACGGCAGGTTTTCTCCTATCGAAGGGGTGTGTGTGAAGTTTAGCTGAGGGTTAAATCCGATCCCGTGGCTATATTAATAGCTCTTCTCTTGAATCGATGGACCCCATGAAGAGTGGAATACAGGGCATATGAAGATAACTCATATTTTATCCCCTATTGGTCCCTATGGGAGTGGATAAGAGTTTGACGGCCAGCTGAGCTTAGTTGAACTGAGCTTTTTCAGTTAGGCTCGATATATACATATACTATATACATATATATATATATATACCAAACTATATATATATATATATATACTTCGCTTCGACAGCTTCCAGATAGGATGCGTCAAAGTGAACGATAGTTTCGACCTAAGACTCGATAAACCTCACTCCCATGAAATTCCTATAAACAATTCGGAATATATTTTCTACAGGGCCGACTCGGTTACGTGGAATCCGCACAAATTGATGGGAACTTTACTTCAGTGTTCGACCATACACTTCAAGCAGGATGTAAGTAAACAATTATAAACAAATCTAGTAATACATGATTCTGAAAAGAGATAAAAAAAAAAAGAAAATAACGATTAAAAAGAATTACTGATATGAACACAACGTAATTGAGATTTAACGGATGTACATACGATATAAATCAAAATTATGATAAATCTGATAGCTCAAAAAAAAACCCGAACAAAACATACACACACACACAAGCAAACAAAAATAACAAAAAAAAAAGAAAAACAGAACCATCTATAGTGACTGTCAAAAATGATTGGACAAAATTGCTGACGAATGACGTGAGATTTGACGTGTTCGAATACCATTGGAAAGGGCGATGACATAACAACGCTATGGCATTCCATGCTATGGGGTGGACCTACGTGCCCACACACTCCTGGAATTTAATTAAACTAAGAGATAACATATGTTGCCATAGTCCGTCGGCGAACTGCCGACGAAGTGCCGCTGGATTGCTGGAGGGTCTATCCCTTCGATCCAACTACCTTGCAACCACCCAACACCGTAGTTATTGCTAACTCTACTCACTCTCTCTCTTTCTCTCTCTATCTTTCACGAACACTTTCTCTCTCTCTCTCTCTCTCTGTCTCTCTCTCCCGCTTTTCTTCTTATATTAAAATTCCGCACACCGGCTGCACCACATCTAGCTTCTGTAGATCATTCTTCCTCTCGATGTCACCCGTTTCTTCTTGGCAAACTTTCTTATCGAATTATTCAACAAGAAAATGGTAATGTCTTTCGTTCAATTGTTACCTTGATTTTATACAAAATTGTAACTAAAACAAAAAAAAAAAAAAAAAAAGATCAATAACGACTCGAAGACAAAAACGTAAAGAACTTTTATAGTTATTTCTCCTGGCTGATTGATTTTTTTCTTTTCTTTTTTTTTTTTTTTTCTTTACAAAATTATCTCGTTTATGAAAATTAATTATTCCGAACTAAAAAAACTGATAACTATACAATAACTACACTGATTGATAGCTACACGATACTTTGCAATATTATCGATTCATTTTCTTCAAAAATTAATTACTCAAATATAAAATTGACACTTCGTTTGATTAATTACTAAACAATTTTCAATAAAATTATTTTCAAAGAAATAAAATCAAAAAAAGAGAGAGAGAGAGAGAGAGAGAGAGAGAAAGAAAGAACAAAAAAATTTCATGACTAAGTATTACACAACTTTCATCGATATTAAATTTTTTACAAAAAGTAATCGATCCAAGATAAAAATCGAAGTATCTTTTTCGATCAATAGCTACTTGATTATCAATAAAATTAAATTTACTCTTTATCTTCTAAACTTAATTCTACGAAAAAGAAAAACAACAGATCTCAAATCGTACGAGCTCATATATATATATATATACATACATACATACATACATACATACATACATACGTATCACCCGTAATCCAAATTCTAATTACCAAATCCATTCGATCAAACCTTAATAAGAAATTAGAATTAATTCAATCGAGACAAAATGGCGCTCATTCCCTAATCACCCTTTAATGACCCAAAGCTTAACAGGTAGTCGAAAAACGAAATGGTGGAATATCCAGGTGGTTTGAGTAAACCACCGCCATTTTGTAAATTCAATACCGGTGTAACTCCCACCTCTTGCGCATGTGTTAAACAGCCGTATCGACCCAAGCAAGCAGCTCTTTACTCTTCCATCCCCTCTTCACTCCTCTCCTCTCCTCGAACCCTTCTCGTCTTTCGTCTCTCGACAGCTCTGTAAATTTATCTCGACGACGTTTTATTGCGCGAAAATGAACGTGCCAAACTCTCTACGAATATTCCAACGTGTCACATTTTTATCTGTCATTCTTTTTTCGATTATAGGGTCTATTAATTAGCTGTAATCAAATGTCAGCGGAATACTTGTTCATGACCGATAAACTCTACGACGTACAATATGATACCGGTGACAAAGTTATTCAATGTGGTCGTCACAATGACATTTTCAAACTCTGGCTACAATGGCGAGCTAAAGTAAGTCAACAAAAAAGGGAAAAGAACAAAAAAAAAAAAGCAAAAAGAAAAAAAAATCTATTTATATAAATAAATAAATATGATATCTGATTGAAGAATAGTCGTACAAATTGATGACAAATATTTTCTATTGTACGATAGGGTACGGAAGGTTTTGAAAAACACATGGACAGGTTAATGGAACTAACAGAATATATGGTCAGACGTATCAAACAAATGCCAGACCGATACTACTTGATTCTCGAGCCTGAAATGGTGAACGTTTGTTTCTGGTATTTGCCAACGCGCGTTAGAAATATGCCGCACGGTCCGGAAAGAGAAAAGATTTTGGGCGAAGTAAGTTTTGAAGAGGTCTAACGTGTGAAAGTTTAAGAAAGGAAAAAATCAAAAAATTGTTTTTATAAAGAGAAAATTCTTAAAATAAATAAAATAATCGTCTTTAGATCTGCCCGATCCTGAAAGGTCGCATGATGCAAGCTGGTACATTAATGGTTGGTTATCAACCCGATGATAGGAGACCCAACTTCTTTAGAAATATCATTTCGAGTGCTGCAGTTACAGAAGCTGACGTTGATTTCCTATTGGCTGAGATGGATCGACTGGGTCACGATCTCTAAGCTATCTGCCTAATAATATAAAATTGATCGATCGATCTTCTCATCCTATCCGACTCATCCTATCGATACGGATAAAACCGCACGAACGACGATTGATCTAAATTGAGAGAAAAACTATATTGACGAATAATATTTATTTAGATGTGTACAAAACTCACGTGGCCAAAACTCAGATTCGCATAATTCATGAAATATTAATCGTAATTAATCGTAAGAAACATGCGTTAATACGGGCGGATGCATGCGGCCTCTTTTTATTTTTGTTTTGTTTTGTTTTGTTTTGTTTTGTTTTCTATAGAATAATCAGTCGATTATGATCATCTTCGATCATATTTAAAAATCTAATTTTAATATCATGTTTTTTTTTCCTTTTTTTTTATAAGAAACGATCTTTTCATCGACGAACTATTCATAAACTTTTTTCTTTATATATGTTTTTTTTATTTTATTAAAAAAAATTAAATTAGATATTTTATGTGTATATATAGATATATACGTTGTTGTTATTTATTGAAAAAAAAAATAATAATAAATAAATTAATATATTAAAGTTTAAATTCGAGCCTGATGCACCGAACGCATTCGTTAATCGTTCCTTAGGACAACATAGGTATTAACATAATTCGTTTATAAGTGTTGACATCATTGTTTAAATAAAGAAACTAATAGCGTACGAAGAATGATCGCAAGTTGTTAACGCAAGTGTGAGCGTCTGTTAAAACAAAAGAAAAATAAATGAATAAATAACAATAACAAAATGAATACGAAGAAAAAGAAGAAAAAAAATAAGAAAGAGAAAAGGATATAAAAAGACAACAAACTGACGATGGTTAAAAGATACTCATAGTGTTTAAGATATTTAGATCTG